GTTTTAGTATTCTTTCACATGTCGTTTAGTATTGTGATGGATGCTAACAGAACAATCGCACAAAAATATGCCGACATACCTACATAAATGCGATATTTACACCTTTAATTAGAAGCGTATGCATGCATATATTTATTCATACGTATGTTTCTAGGTTAGTAGAATTTTTCGTATACACATACATATATACATTCGTCAATATTATCTACACCTACATACACGTACAACAGTGCAGCTTTGTTAGAATTCTTCTACAGAATTTGAATGAAAATTTCAAGCCGAAATATGTTTCGTTTTCTTTAAATTTATGAAAACTTTGCAATTTCTTAGCGTTTATGTGTAAAAGGCATTACGACTTCAAAATTCAAACCTATTTACTTGCTTGAAAAAATCGACTATAGGCTTACGGTCATATACTGCCGTTGTCACTGCTCTAGACTGCTCATAGTAAGAGTAAGAGAACGATGGTCACAATGAATCTCTCCAATATCAATTTTGTTGTAGGACAAAGGTTATGCAGCCTGAAAGACAACAGCAACGAGAAGGCTTTTCAATGTCTCTGCGATGATGTTTCGAACACGGCTTTTGGCTTGATGCGCGACTCTCTAAGAGAAACTGTTAGCAAACAACTTGCGTATAACTGAACTTGTCACCTGAGCGTTTATCTTGTAGTTTGGGAACCTTTTTTGGGTTCCTTAGTAGAAAAACAGTTCCTGCTTCCCCTTATTCCACAATAGTCTAGTATACCAAATTGCAAGATAACACAAGTAAGAAATTACAGTTGACCAAGACCGACCACTAGACACCCGAGAATAGTTCGCTTAGATTAATTCTATATACAATAAAATACCAACAAGTATACCTTGTTTTCAGCTAAAGGTATACTTCTTATGGGAGTCATTATGTGGAAGAGGGTGCAAAATCCAACGGAGCTTAAATTAATCTGCTTTTCAAGGAACTGCCGTTATTCCATTATAAAATACAAAAAATTAAACTTTATCACCACACAAAAGCTTACCATTCAATAGTACCCTTGTAAGGGCTATGGTCCGAAAAATAGACCTACCTACGTGGTCTAAATAGTGTGAGCTACATTTCTACGTAAAATCACCGTTATAGGCCAATTTTCATCATCAAATATTAAATAAAGTACTATTTGTCATATAGAGGCGTGGTGTTCGTATGAATCCTTATCTAGGGTGGGATATAAGAAATACATTTATATGATCCAAATTTGATTTAAATGAAGTTTGATGTATCTGCCAAAAGGCAGATAGTGACACAGACATGCTTAAATTGATTCAGATAATGATTATGAATCGATAAGCATGGAGGATAAGTAGGGTCTGTCTTAAGCCGTTACGGGTTCTACATAAATCTGCACCAAATTAATATACCCTCTATCACGAATGGTGCAGGATACAAATACAACATTCGGCTGGGGACGAAGCCCGCGTACCGACCATCATTAAAATCTTTAGCGCCTCCAGCTTTCATTTATTGCCATAAAAAAGTGAGTGGGATAAAATTTAGCTTTCACCCTTTAGCTTACTGAAAGGTATTGTTGAAGAAAAAAAGTAAATTTAATCGCTCATGCTTTTGTGTGGGCAAAGACGATTTTTTTCATTTTTCCGCGTAAATGATAGACATTTCTACGAAGCAAATGTAGGAAATGTCTGCCTTCTATCTTTCATAATTTGTGAGTAAGGAGCAAAAATCCACAAGTTTTTGCTTAGGGAAGGAGTTAAGGGTTGCGTTCACTTTGCGCTTTGTTCATGTTTGGCATGTGTTCTGCCAAAATTGAAGCTGATAATTTCATCTTTGCGGGTATGGGAGTAATAACAACACACTCCTCACAGACGCACAGACAGACAGACATGTCCTAATCTATTCAGTATTTCACGCAGATCAAAAATATAAAATATATTTCATAGGGACTCTGAAGTTTCCGGTTAGGTGTTGCACACATTGTAACCGAGTGAGTATACGCCCATCCTTCGGCGGTGAGTATAAAAATAAATGATATAATTGAAGCAGCTTCAAGAATTTATTAATAGCTAGTTCCAATTCTGTTAACATTAGTCGGAAATGGTCAGATACAATGATGTGCAATACGCTCTATTTCTTAGACAATACATTATTAGCAAACGAATTGAACCCTACTTCCCTCTCTCAGCCGACTATGTAATTTAATTGAAATTTTAATTCTTATGTTTAAATTTTATTATATTAAACGCCACAATTACACCTTTGAACTATTTTAACGTTCTCCACTTGCATCTGGGGGTTTATGCTGGCCAATCGAAAATTTTCAGCCCCGGCTGGGATGCATTTACATATTCGGATTAAAGTTTTCGCAACCATTGCATAATTCGAAATTTTTGTCCTATAAATTTTCCACAGTTTTTAATCAATGTGTCCCTGCGCCTTCCGTAACGTGCCGTAACATGATCGATCTTAACGCAAAGATATGTTGGATATAATGAATCTTTTAGATTTTCGGTCGAAATAGTTGCTGAGCTTTAAGCGGTGTTGTCATTATTTCTTGTTATAACTTGGTCTCGTTTTGTCGAAAGAGGCAGTAGAAGTAGTTCAGTAATGTAGATGGTGTAATACAAAACAACAAACGGATAATTTTCCATTTAATACACCGCTCGAGTTGCTTGCCTTGCTTGCGAATGGCTTTCTTGTACTAATCAACATTAGACTACACTTTCGAGTCAAATATCGATTTCTTATTTTGGAAATAGGCTTTTTTAAATACCTGCACGCTAATTCCTTTGTTCTCTTCTAGCTTTAGGGATACTAAGTATCTATATGTCTGCATCAAATTGAATCAAATTTTATTGAAATTTTTTAATACCTTTGACACTTTTTGCTCGCATTCGACAATTAAGACATAATGTTAAAAGCCGGGAAGAAGATTTTTCGATTAATTAAAAAAGCGTATTCCAAAATGGTCGTGATCAAATCATAAACACACTTACAGTAGAGAAGAAAAAGAAAGTGATAGATATTGCTTTGTAAGTAAAGAAATTCGATAAAGATATGTGTTGTCAGGATCATCTACAATTTTCCTCCATTAGGGTTCCTGGCCCAAGGCTAAGAGACTTTGTGTTACCAACTTGTCCTGCAAATAAATTAAAATTTAATGAACCTTTCGTCTGGGGAGGCAGTGTAGAAAATTGAGACATATATCCGTTTAATTCAATCGAAATCGAACATCAGTGTAAGTTGTTGGTGTCAAATTGACAATTGGGTAAAAATAGGGGCAGGCATGATATAGAGGAAGTCGGTGCCGGCATGTTCAGTACACGAGGCAATGTAATCCTAAGCGCTATCAGATTTTTAGGTCTGCGCAAAATGCTTTGAAAACAAATCGCTGCGATAGTTCGCCTAAACAGAGACAAATCTCGCCATAGTTGACAAATCTCGGTTACCACACAAAAAAATGTTCTGTTAAGCTCTTAATCTGCTTACTTAGCTATTTGTCAATTTATTATTATTCAGGGCATTATCACGTCGAATTAAAGCTATGTGGGCCTACTGTTTGGGCACACCTTTTCTCTCTCACTCTTTCCCAATTTCTTTCTGAACGTCATCGTGTCACACGTAAGGCCAACATATTCGTTATAAGCTAAAGTATGCATGTATACATCAGCGAAACAAGATACAAAAACTATTCGGAGCTGATTCCTAACTCTATTAGCAATAGTTCATTATTAATTTCCCCACAGTCATGTATGTATTTGTTTTGTAAGCCAACTGTTGCTCAATATAAATTTTTACTAGTTTCCAATAGATCGCTGAAAATAACTTAGGCAGTAACTAAAGTTGTTTTCTCTTTCCAATTATTGCTGTTATCCGTCATAAATTGAATCTGAATTTGGCAGATTAAGTGCTGGTTGCTGGTTCCTGTACCTCAAGTTCTTCGTTGCGTGGAATAATAAAAATCTGAAAAATTACATTCAGACATCAACAACATCATAGCATTATGCAAAACACATATACATATGCATAGAATACATTAGTAGAGCTGAAGTGATTTGCCCGAGTTGCGGGTAAAATATCTAAAAAAGTCTCATTGAATATGGTTCAGAGTTGATTATCGAACACGCAGCTTATAATGTATTTAATGAACTCTTCTTATTACTATGGTTGAATGTGTTCCTTGGATTTTCTCCTGATATTGTTTATTTTTGTCTATTAGTTTACAACTTTGCAAAATAGTGCTTATCGTGTTCCATTAAAAGCGGAATTTTTATTGCTATGTTTTCTTTCACTTTTCTTTTATTATTTTTCCCCGCTCGCCGCATTAAAAAAATACATCTATGCTGTTTTTAATGTTCTTGTTGTTGCTGTTCGATTTCTTCAACGTATCACATTTTTTAAGGCGCCAGTCAATGAGTCATATTGGCAAATATGATGTAAATGTAAGCACAGTGAGATAAGAAGGATATTATTGGATGGCAGATGACAGCTAGAAGCTTCTGCTCTCGTTGCAGTTGTATATAACTCATAAACGATTACTATGCAGAAAAGAATCAGGACAAGCACTTACTTATATATATATATTTAAATATATATATATATATATATATATTTTATCATCTCCTTACTTTTCTTGCATCTCTATTTTCCGTAATATACACAAGCACACGCACATGCAAGGAAAGTAAGGAGATGATAAAAATTAGAATTTTCTATAGCTTTAGACCAAGAGACCAATGTAATCATTTTCATCATCATCATTATCATCATCATCATCATCATCAAAATTAAAGTAAACAACAGGATATCATAAAGTCGACCCAATTATCTATTTAGTGATTAAATGATGATAATACTGATATAACAAACAGTATACCGTTTTGGTTGGTTGAGCTACGGTCTTCGTGTGAAAACTTTGTTTAATATTATCTTGAAATGTGTGAGAAGGAATCTTTTCGGTCATGACAAGCAATTATTTCAATTTTTCCATTTTCACTTACTGTTTACAGTTTGCGTTCAGAGCGTTAACGGAGCCACCAAGAGCTAGTCATTATGATGGAGTTAGAGCCTCGTGTTGCTATATTGCAAGATTTACGCTTACAAACATTTGATTCGATACGTTTCGCTTCATATCGTACCGCCTCTAAATTACGTTACATACAAAAGTCTACAAATCTGCATTTAGTCGACATATGGAATGTAATTGAAGCATTTCGGGAGAATGGCTTAAATACTCTTGAGCCGCAAAGTGATGTTAGCGTCGCACGTTTAGAAACTTTAGTTTCATCCTTATATCACAACCTTAACAAACGACTGCCAACATCGCAACAAGTTCCTGTTGATTCTAAAGCTGGCTTATTACTTAATTGGCTTCTGGCAGCTTATACCAGGTAAGTGAATGTGCAAACTAATGTATGCTATATATACTTACATACATAACGTATCGTAACATATTCAAGATTTAATTTATTTTTTTAGTGATAATTCTGGTAAAATACGAGTGTTTTCCATTAAAGTAGCTTTGGCTACAATGTGCTCTGGTAAATTGGTAGATAAGTTAAGATGTAAGTTTCATAACAATTATCCATAGATGAGATGTCTCACAAAACAAGAAAAATGTACTTTTGTTGTTTTGGTTGTTTTGGTTGTTTTGGTTTAGATATATTTTCTCAAATATCGGACGGTGCTGGTCAACTGGTAACATGGAAATTGGGAGAATTTTTACGTGAAGTATTAGCTTTACCGGCAGCGGTTTACGAATCGCCTACATTCCATTACAAGGATGGGCTTGAAGACGAGATTTTTCCGGCCGAAAATAAAGTCACTGTGAATGACTTCATGGCAACACTTATGTCTGAACCGGGACCATCCTGCCTTGTGTGGTTACCTTTGTTGCACCGTTTGGCCACGGTTGAGACGATTGTGCATCCGACAATCTGCTCTGTCTGTCATAAGGAAAACTTCACGGGCTTTCGTTATCGTTGTCAGCGATGTCACGCCTACCAATTGTGTCAGGAGTGCTTTTGGCATGGCAAGACGTCACTGAATCATCAAAACGATCACGAGGTCAAGGAGTACTCGAGCTATAAATCGCCGAGCAAGCAGATTGGTCATTCGTTGCGCAAAAGTTTTCGATGTGTGCCCGAAAAGACGACTCAAGTGTTGCCACGATTTCCTGAACAGCCTGAAAAGACGTTGAATTTATCGCACATTGTGCCACCATCACCGCTGCCTTCGCACAACGGTTTCAGCGATCCGTCATTACTCCATGGTCTGGGAGGTGTTTTATCCGGTAGCGGGGGCGGTGGCGGCCTTTTTGATCGCTCAAGCACTATAGATTCACGTGCTACCGGCCGCAGTGTGGATAGTGCCACTGGTGCTGCAGCTTCACGTTTGGCTGCTGCTTCAGCCAATGACGAGGAGCATCGTTTAATAGCCCGCTACGCAGCTCGTCTCGCTCAAGACAATCGTACAGTAAGTAGTTCCATACACTAACTCGAAGACTTAATACAAAATCACTTTTGTAACTTTGAAATATTTATCTCTTGTAGTTATACCCTGCATCACTTATACTACAGGATATGTTATATTTTCGCGGCCTAAGATAGATCTGTCCTTTTATTGTGTCAACCGATACGGAATCATTTTCCGAATCAGTTTCGGCTTATCTGTGCATCTATTCGTTCAATATGGGGCAACTTACAGGTCGCAATTTATACGATACTTTGACGAAGTCTGCTACACTCACGTGCTTTGCCCCAAGCATCAATCCCATTAAAAATGGATCTGATCAGACTACTTTCACAATCACTCGTCATATAATGCCCCGATTGAAAAAATGCTTCTTGCGCGAAAAAATCAATTTTTAATATTTCGACCTCAAAATCAGTAGGCATTAGTATTTTGGCATCCAATGGGACCATTACATGCAGAGGAAGGCATTATATAGAAAAATTCCTAATTTTTAATATTTTATGATGAAAAATTGTCGACAATAGTAACTGGACATAAAACTTATGTGGATCAAATTTCATATCATATAAGAGTTCTGATGCAAAGCAAGTCTCTCTTTCGGAAAGTCCAATTTTCAGCACTTTACGATGGAAGTTGAAGAATAATAAGGTTTTTATTGAGAAAATTAAGCTTGCTAAACTTGAACCACATCAGTTGTTGAAAGTTTGGGCCGCCTCCAAAAAGTAAATGCGTCATAGTATTAAGTAAAGTGGTGTAACGTCGCGGGTGTTAAACGTCGATCGTGGCGGTCGTACGTCTAACTTTCCATTTATTTGTATACAGTTTTTCCATACGTCCTTTCATCGTTTCGTCCATCCGGTAGGTCGTTTGTTGTGAAAACTCTCTTAGTTAAAACCACTGAAGTAGAAAATAGAAAAGTTGGTCATTACAGGTCAAGCGTAGAAATAATCATAACATGTTTAAGAGGCGTTGATCTAAAATTGAATGCAGCATTCGTCAGAGCTCTCCGCAAATTCGGATACTGACATTGGCTAAAATAAGTAGAAGTGATTATCCAAAGGAGTTCAACTTCCTTTGTTAATTTTTTCTTAAATTTATTTGTCTTAATTGAATGAAATTGCTTTGATTTAGATGATAATTATTTCTTTTCACAGCCTAGTGGCCCAGCTAATGTTGCCGATGCAGCCAATACCATTACTTCCGATAATTCACGAGCTCAACGGGAATTGATCGCCCAACTGGAAGCTAAAAATAAAGAAATTATGCGGGAAATAGCTCGGTTAAGACGCCAACAGGAAGCAGAGCAAATGGCTCCGGAGAATCCAGCATTGATTAATGAATTACGAGCATTACGGCAACGTAAGGGAGAACTTGAAGGCCATTTGGGAGCTTTGCAAGACTCACGACGTCAACTGATGGAACAACTCGAAGGCTTAATGCGTATGTTAAAGAATCAGCAGACAGCTTCGCCTAGGTCCACACCCAATTCTAGTCCCCGCTCTGGTAAATCACCTCCCATGCCAGGCGGCACTGCTGCTGCGACAAGCTGCGGTGCTGGAGGCGGAATTAATACGCTCGGCACTTCACCCATGAGTTCGCTGCACGTGCAACAGCCGGGTCACAATGTAATGGGAACCGGTAACGCTCTGCGCATGCAACAGCAACACACGGCTCTAAATCCGAATGCTTACACTCAGAGTCAAATGGACCAACTCACTCAACAACTGGCTAATGAACTACGTGCTCCGTTCAATTCAAATGGAAACGCAAGTGAGTACTATCTCCTGAAAAAAAGCTACTTATCCACATAAACGAAAATATAGAGTCTTTTCTATCGATCCAGGGATTAGGTTTTGGGGCGGTTTTCTTTGCATAAAGAGCTTTATAGGAAATTATATACATTAGATTTGATTATAATTTTATGAGATTCGATTTTGTTTTTTTTTTTAATTTAATTATAAATGAACTTAATTTTGTGTTAAGAAACAACAACGAATCAGGAAACTGCTTACCTGCTTAATAATACAAGTGCAGAATTAAATGAAGCAGCAGATTCAGTGACCACCGCTATGTCTACTCTGCTAAATGACTTGAATACAGGTAATCACTCATTAAGCATAAATACCGTCGTTGTTGCGCTCTATTATGTTTTAGAGCAAAAAAACCTCTTTATTCTCTGCTTATCGCTAAGATTAAAAAAAAAAAAAAAAAACGAAAAAAAAAAAAAGAATACAAATTATATGCAAAAATTTATTGAAATGCTTGAACAATAGTTGAAATGAGAAAAACTATTACTACATAGTTTCAATTGTTTCTCTTTCTCTTCCTATATCCTATTGCCACAAGTATTTTAACCCAAATAAAATATTTATGTATATGTATGTTATATCTAACGAATATAGTTTTTATAAACATAAATGTGTACTCGTTTGTGTGTTTGTGTGTGTGTGTAAATATATGTTCTTACAGTGCAATCACTTAAAGTTACGCAGGCCCGTTTCATTTTACCTTTAGGTAAGTTTTGTTTAAAAACAAAATTTTCAAAATTCTTTTATAAATTCAGTTTCAATGAGATATGCTTATCGATGTTCTCTAAAAACATAAAATTTGATTTTCATTTACGTTCTTTCTCTCTTTCTATCATTTTTCTATTAATTATTATTTCTGTTTTCTAATTTCCTTTAATTTTATAGAATATTTTCCGAACAGACGACGAAAGCGTAAACAATGCAATTGTTAGGACACTAAATGTATATATATATATATATGATAAAATTGAATGAAAAAAATAATCCAAAACTCCACTCATTCTACATGTGGCTGTGCATACTCTAAGAACATTAAAAGAAATATCTGTATACATATATATATATATATATATATACGTATAAATATACGTATATATATGTGTATATAATATATATATATATAAAAAAAAAAAAAAAAAAAAAAAAAAAAAACAATTACTTTGTATCTCTGCAAACAAACAAGAAATACTTGCTGAATTTTTTTTTCTACTTTACTCAACAAAAAACTAAAAATCTTTGGCGCGGCAGGCATACGTCATGTTGAGGGCGGCGAATCTGATGATGAAGAATATGATTACTTCAATACAGATTTGGACAGTGGATGTGGCGGTGGAGGTGGAGGTGGAGGTTGTGGCGTTAGCGGTAGCGGTATTTATGACTTACCCGGCGCTTATGATAGTGGCATATCAACGCTACAATTGCACTATGAGTCTGACTTAACATCTTTGGAGGATAATGCTGATAATGATGCCGAGTTACGTTATCGAATTGAAAACGATACAGATGTTGAATTAGATACTGATGTAGATATAGCCGAAGAGCAGGCTCATATTAATCGTATAATGTGCTATAAACATTATCCGGAAATGTTGATCGATGATCCCGATGCCGGATTTCCTTTATTGCATGAAATCGGTGAGACAATCGATGAACTGCAATTGATAATGCACGCCCATTTACTGAAATATAGTTTGAGTTTATGAATCTCTATCAATGTTTACCATACATATACGCAACCATACCAACTCTCTCTCTCTCTCTCTCTCTCTCTGTCTCTCACTCACTGTCTCTCTCTCTCTCTTTATGTACATATGTTGTGTAAATGTTTACTTCAATATTTACGTCTTATCTTCTTCCAACTTACTTAATACATACACATAAAGTTATGCATACAAGCAAAAAACATATCTAATCTGTGTGTGTGTTATAATTCTTATTATCGTTATCGTTAACTTGTTATCGTTTCTCGAAAAGGTACAATTCAAAATTTTCTATTTTACTATAATTTTTTTGGATAATTTTTTTTTTCTTTTCTTAGTTTTTCTTATCAATTTGTTCCGCATTCGTTAATATTCATTGATCATCTTTAGTTTAGCTAGTGTAGAATGCTTCGTGCAAAGCGTTAATACTCGGCGCGGCCCCTGCTAAATCTATTGAGTGCTTGCTTTGCATACCTATAGGCGCAAACGGATATTATTTTTGTATTATCCTTGTGTAATTCTTGCAAACCTCCAGTTCCTCAGTTCCAATAAAATCTATGTACTCTCTACCGATCCACTCCTTATCCCTTTTTATCTCTATCTCTCTCTCTCTCACAGATCTCTGGGAAAATAATCCAGCTGGTTTGGTTTGCTGACACGATCGTCACTATCACAATAATTTGCAACTATGTATATTGACCAGTTTTCGACGACGCTTAAAGATATCAATTGGTTACTATCCGAGCGTAACCTTCGTTGTTATAACTGAATTTGCCCAAATCTCTATAGAGCGAACAATTGTTCATCTGCTCATTTAAGCCTGCACTTCATTTCGAATGTTAATTGTGCAGTTTGTCAATATAAAAAGATTGCAAGGTATTTTATTAATGAGAAGCGTGTTTGTCGTCATCTTTACAGTGAATTTTTGGATAATCTTGGAAAATATTTTTATCAAGTTTTCATGCCCGTCACTTAAACGATGAGGTCTGTATTGATTGCGAAGAAAGTTTCAGAGACGCCTTAAAGTAGAGACGTACTATATTCTTGATCAAAATTAAATTCTGACTCGATTTAAGCATGTCCCTCTGTCCGTCTGTGTAATAATTGTTGTAAATATCCTCGTGGCCACAGAAATTAAGCTATCGGCTTCAAATTTGGTAGATACGTCGGCATTCAAGGTAGGCCAAAGTACACGCCTAGGGTACGACATAAACTGAAGACATCTCTGTTTTCCAAAATGAATAAAAATTGGATCATTACTTATGAATTGCAATAGATAATGCCACAAGAAAATTAAAAGTATTTACATATTCGATGGGCGATGTTTTAGTCACTGTGAGCTGTGCTTTCCATATTTTTTGCTCGTTACTCAAAAACGACAATAGACATACGCGAAACTGTGGTTGCACCAACCCAATAAACTAGCATAGAGCATAGAAATTTAGTTTTTCTTTTTGCTCTTCTTCACGATAACGGTGATGGGCATAAATATTCGGTTACAGCCGAACATAATTTTCTTACTTATTAGTAATTATTATAAATTTTACAATAACAAATTGCAGTTTTTTGTGTACTTGGTTATGGACGGAACATTTCCTGTTTCGAATTCGGTCCTTAACTAATAATACCTACGCCAAGGTTCTCCCTCAATAGTTGAATGTTGCAGTGCAACTATGAGAGTCTGCCATTAGACATAGCAAACAAAGCTCGAGTGATTAAATATAGCTATCACGTATTACATATTAATACATACTACGTACAGGACGTCTGCTGTATATTCTCTCACGCTAGGAACACAAGGAGCAATTTAATTTGTCTCCATCGTTCGATGGTTGGCATAAAGAGGGCGAATCATCCTCAATGAATATTATATACACATATTATATATCCCAGTATTATTATTCATTGTTGTCCGCGCCCATTAAAGACCTTTTTTTATCTACCACATGCACATAAAGTAAACACGTCTGGCAGATTTT